TCTCTGTGATTGAAAGGGGCAACCGTGGAGCCCGGGGTCAACTGGGGACTCCTCAGCTGACCCCAGGCTCCTAGCACCGTGCAATGTAGCATTGAGCCCAGGGTCTGCGGGGGACTCTTGTGCATTTCAAAGCAGGCATGCCGCATGCAGCCTGAAGTCAGAGGGACTTCCCGCTGGCCCGGGCTGTACTTGGAGTTCCGCATTCCTCCTTTGAAATGTACAAGCTCTTGTACATTTCAAAGGAGGAATGCGGAAGTGCCTATTGACTAATCAAATTCCATCAACTTGTCAATTAACCGCACTTTAACATCCTTAATTTAATTCAGTGATGGCTCTGTGTATGTGCAGAGAGAGGTCATCCTATTTCCCCTCTGATTCTAAGATTTGGGCCTAAATACTGAAGTTCCTGAGAGAACATAAAGTTCTCACAGTGCTAATTTTAATCGCTAGTTATACCATCACACATTAAAATCTTGTTCAACATCACATTGATACAATAATTGCAATATGTCTTTAATGTTTTGAAAAGTTTCTTGAATCATACAGTTCAGTCTTCTGGAAAAGAATTTTCTTGCTACACATACTTCTCTGATATGTGCAATATAAATGTTTTTCACTTGCCTGCTGTTCTATATGTCTCTATTTTTATAAAATACTGAGCTAGTACAGGTTGGACCTCCTTAGTCTGGCACCCCCTCAGGACCTGACTGGTCCTGGATGAGGGATTTTGCTGGACTAGGTAAGGTAATATCTGTTTTGCCTCTCCTGTCCCCCTGGCACTGCCTTCCTCCTCCCCAACCCTGGCCTTGCTGCCAGCTCTCAGCCAGCTTCCCCCTACCACTGGCCCCTTTACACACACGACTCCTGGCCCCATTGTGACAGCCCTGACTCCGGCATGCACAGCCCTGACTCCAGCCCCCTGGGGCAGCCCCCCTGTTGGGATCCAGCTGCACTGCCATGCGACATCTCCACTTGGATTTCAGCCTTGGTCAGCAGCCCCTCTGCCTTCCAGACTTACTGGGCAGCTCCACAGGTTGCAGCGGGTCTGCCGGGCTCTTTGCTGTGCTGCTGGGCAATAACCCTGCTCCCGGGTTCCTGGTCCTGCCACTAGGTAGCCCTGCAATCAGGCTCCCAGCCCGCGAGGCAGCTGTGCTGCTTTTTAGTCCCACTGGGCAGCTGCGCCACTTGGCAGTCAGGCTCCTGGTTGTGCTGCCATGCAGCCTCGCTGCCTCCCAGTCTCGCCAGGCAGTTTCAGTGTTGGGCTCTGTCCCCACTGCCTCCCGTCCACCACCACCACTACCACCACCACCTGAAGTGTCTCCACTGGGCAGCTGCTCTGCTGTTGAGCTGCAGTTTTGCTGCCATAGGGCAGCTCTGCTGGAGGGCTCCCAGCCACCAGCCCTCCACCAGGACTCTCTGGTCCTGGGACGTCCGTGGTTCTGCTGGACTAGGGATGTTGCCAAACCAGAAAGTCACGGTTAAAAGAAGTTCAACCTATAGGTCAAATAATCAGTGTTCTTACTTTTTTAAAAAAAGGTGCAGTCACTGTTGTTTGAAATACTTAAATTTGACCCCTTCATCTTTCTTTAGATAATTTTTTAACTTTGGCTCTTACAGATTTGGGTCTTGATTCTGCAGTGTTTACCTTTGTTTTTTCTTTAATGAAACTTTTCAAATGAACAAAGGCTGTATAATTGGGCCCCGAATTCTAGTTTACATTTATTAGTTGTGAAAATAAATTAACGTTTCTTAAAATCTTTTGATAGTGTAAGCCATTCAGTTATGTAGCAAAGGTGTTAAATCATCTAATCTTTTATGATATATATAATTGTAATACAAATAAACACTAAACAAGCATAATCATTCTGGGGGAAAGAGAAAATGTGTCATGGTACAGTTAGAACTATTCGTGTTCCAGAGCCACCTACTCATAAATAATTAAATTGAGAAAACTAGTTTTGTAAAAAGCTAAGGGAAATTACATTCTAAGTCTATTTGGAGATTGGATTTAAGCTATGCCAGTTGGGAAATGTTGTTTTAATCCACGGTTGGGGAACCTAAAGCCCAGAAGCTGGATGTGGCCCCCAACTTGCCTAGATCTAGCCCCTGAGGATTAGGCTGGAGCACGTAAAATCTACTAGCCTGGGCCCCCCTAGGCTCTGATGTGCAAAAGTGGAGAGTGTCTTTCCATGCCAATGAATGGTTATTATGGGGGTTTTTTGGTAAGAGGGATTGCTTTTTTTGTGTGTGTGGCCTATGACTGTTTTGGGTATTTTTTGTGGGTCAGCGGCCCTCAACCCAAAAAGGTTCCCCACCCCTGTTTTAATCCTTTTTCTTACTATTACTTATCTCAAATAGTAGTAATGCAATTCCTGTGTATTTGGAATTTGCCAAATTAGGAAATTAAGCACTTTTGAAAAGTTTTCTCTAAGTGACTTTGGATTCTTAGTAATTTTTGAAAAATGACTTGGACACGTAGGCTCCTAAGTCACTTAAGTATCTCTTAACATTTTATTCTTAATCTTTTTTTAATAACAATTATTACAACATTTCCTTAGTTCAAAGTCCCCTTTTTGTTGAGGGACAAACAGAGTGATTTCTCTTCTGCTTGGCATTTCAGTTTTGCACTTGACGTTACCACAGAAATAGTCTTTTTTTCATGTATATTTCCTTTTTCCTCTTAGATATGTACATCAGGTTGATGCAGTACTACTTTCTCACCCTGATCCCCTACATCTTGGTGCTCTTCCATATGCAGTTGGCAAAATGGGTTTAAACTGTGCTATTTATGCAACCATTCCTGTATATAAAATGGGACAAATGTTTATGTATGATCTCTATCAGGTATGCTTTACTTCATATTTTCACATTTATTTAATTTCTTTGAAGATGATTTTCAGGCTTTGTAATATGTTTTCCTTTTTTCCCCTTTTATGCTAGTCTCGCCACAATACAGAAGATTTCACTCTTTTTACATTGGATGATGTAGATGCAGCTTTTGATAAAATACAGCAGCTCAAGTTCTCTCAGATTGTGAACTTGAAAGGTAAAACTACAGCAAAAGATGCAGTAGCTGACTTGTCTTTTAATGCCTGTGTCTGGGACTGGTTTGTGGCCTGGGAGTTTGAGACCCCTGGTGTAAGCTGTCATAGTTTGATTGCTAGCTGAGGATTTGCTCCAATGATTATATTTCAGAAAAAGGCCCCGCTTCCATTGAAATTAATGAGGATTATTCCAGATTGAATTTGGCTCTCCTGTCCTATATTTTATTTCTTGTCTTTATTTTTTCTGATGCCTTCCACATCTCTCAAATACATCTTGTTGCTAGTTAATTGAAGGTAACATTATTGACAGCTGCTTACATATTTTCCCCAAGTGAAAAGGAGCACAAATAAAAACAAAATCGAGTCCTTCAGGAAATGGACAGAAAAGTTGGGGATTTATGCTCAAATTATAGTAGTCTAATGCAGTGGTTCTCAACCAGAGGAACACACATGCCCGATGGTATGCAAAGGTCTTCCAGGGGTACATCATTTTATCTAGATATTTGCATAGCTTTACAACAGGTACAAAGAAAACACTAGCTTAGTCAGTATAAATTAAAATTTCATACAATGATTTGTTTATACTCATCTATATGATGCAAGCACAATAGTTATATTCCGAGTGATTTATTTTATAATTATATGGTGAAAACGAGAATGCAGCTTTTTCAGTAGTTGTGCTGTAACGCTTATGTATTTTATGTCTGATTTTGTAAGCAAGTGATTTTTTTTTTTGTGAGGTGAAACTTAGAGATACATAAGATAGATAAGACTCCTTGAAGGGGTCTTGTAGTCTGGAAAATTGAGAGCTACTGCTTTTAAGCATTAACCCATTTATGGAGACAAAGTTAAGTCCTGTCCAGACTAACTGAACCAATAAGAAGACTTGTAAAGTTTGAATTGTCTTATAACTGGGTCCCTTGATTTGTCATATTTGTAATGTAAATTAGTTCAGAGAGTACACACTGGACATTTCCAAGAATTGAAAGTTTGCACTGGTTACATACCAAATTGTGCTCCATCTTTCTCTCTAGTGCTGCATCACCACATTTGTATATTGTCATAAATTCTAAGACTATTTCCATGCAAATAAGTGGTGTATTACCTATTCTATGGCACACTAGAAATACATTTCCTGATATTTTTCATAAAAAATAAGTGAGAGTCCTCATGGTCTGGGTGATTTCTAATCTGTTTAACTACACACATCTTGTGTCTTTTCATAGAAACAATCATTATTTAAAACATGCTGTTCTCTTGCTGCTACTCTGTAATATTGCTGTATGGTTAAATGCAATCACTCTGTACTCCAGAGATGGCTACATTTCATCAATTCATTTGTATGTTCATAGAATAGGCAAAAAGTGCCACTAGTTATGTGTTTCACGGGCAATGCAGCACAGCTGGAACAAACTTAACCTAAGACTGGTATACCTTTCCCCACTCTCCATTTTTCCAAGGCTAAATGGGGAAGAATTCCTAATCACAGGGAATACTGAAACCTTCCACAGTTAGTAGTAGTCAGGCTGGAGGGAATACTGATATCTGGTTTCCCTAATATACTCTCCCTCCCTCAATAGTATCTCAGGGTTAGTGGTTTATTTCAAACTGCCTTGTGGTTGGGATAATGTGTTGTAAGATGCATGCTATATCTGAAATATTGAAAAGTTACATTGTTCCTGCAGGGAAAGGGCATGGTCTTTCTATTACACCACTGCCAGCTGGTCACATGATAGGAGGCACAATTTGGAAGATTGTCAAAGATGGAGAAGAAGAAATTATTTATGCTGTTGACTTCAACCACAAGAGAGAGATGTATGTACAACACAGCAAATCATTTTCCTCTAAATTTCAGTTAGTATTGCTAGATAATTTAAACAGCCTGAAACATTCTTGCACTAACATAAAATACTAAGATTGCCAACTTCATTTCAACTCAAGTAGCTAGATTTGATGGTGGCTATGTAAAACATAACAGCACGGTCTCTATTTCCTCCTTTTCAAATCCTATTTTTAGTTTGTCAGTTTTCAAGCAATGTCCAGTGCTACAGCTGGGGGCAGTAGAGGGAAATCTCTCTTCCCAATTGAAAAGGAAAAATAAAAATATAAACATTATCTTTTTTAATAAAAATTTAAAAAACAATTTTCTTAGAAGTAGAATGAGACAATGATAAATAGCTGTCCCTTTTATCCAGGAAAAACAGTCATGCTAATGAGCTCCTGAATACCAATATGTGGTCCAAGTTCTAGTGAAGACTGCAGATGTGGTGGGAGGGAGGACAGACATAAATGTTGCATAGTAATCTAGATACAAATGCAGATGCCAAAGGCTTCACTTGGCCTGGGAGCAGGGGAGGAGAGTCTGAATCTTAGATTTATATTTGTAGGAAATAGCAGTGTTCGTTTTCTACTATGACCAAAGTTTGATTATAGGGTAATATTTGCTTGTAAGAATATTCACAGCTGGTCTCATGAAGAAGTAATTCAAGAATAAGTCAAATAGGATAGACATTTCATAGTAAATGAAAAAAAAATATAGGTCACTTAGGCCATGTCTAGACTGCACTCTAAAATTGAAATAAGATACAAAATTTGTGCTGCACTAATTGCATATCTTATTTCAATTTTATTTCGAAATAGGTTATTTCAAAATTTGGTCTGTCTACACAGCGCCAGATTTAAAAATACAGGCAGTCCCCGACTTACGCGGACCCGACTTATGTCAGATCCGCACTTACGAATGGGGCTTTCTCGCCCCGGAGCTCGCAGGCAGCGGTCCTGCCACCTCGACCTCCGGGGCGAGAAAAGCTGCTCCCGGTGCCCCTGGTCTGCTGGGGACCATCTCCA